AGTAATTATAAACCCCAGCCCCCATCACCACCCCTGCACCCAGCGGTGACCCCCCCGCCTCTGCACAGGCGCTCCCTGCAAAACGCGCCGTTCTAGCGCTCGCTGCTGCCCTTTGCGATTAATTACAAGAGGGTAACGCGGCCGCCTACTTGAGGTCAGATACTTGCACAGGTCAAACCGGTCATCTTGCAGAGAGACTTTCTCCCTTCAGAAATGCATTTACTGTGTCCTAAGCGGCCGGATCAGTCCTCACCACTGACTGAGGCCCAGCGCCGTCACCAAGACCTGACTGCGTCTCTGCTCAGTGTCATGTCACACACCTCCCTCTGCTGGGAAAGGGCCCGAAACGGGGCAAAGTCTGTTCCCGCGGCACACGTGCATGCTACACGGGCACGCTAACATGGAGCACAAACACGGTGTGAACGCCGAAGCGTCCATAAACAGGCAGCGTAGCATGTGCTCGATGCAGCCGGAGGGTACGTCCCATTGTCTCGCAAGGCAGTGATTTCTGGGCTGCAAACACAGGGGTTCACCCCTCGCTGGCCACGTTGCCTGGCAGACTACTAGGTAGCATCGATTTCCTCACTTGTTCAGTGTGTTAACAGTAACACAACTGTATTCAATTAGTGTGCAGCAAACAAGTTAAGTTCATCTCATCAAAGAGTTGCTTTTCTCATTTTTGGGGGTGTTATTTTTCCCCCATGCAACATCTGACTTGTTGTTTTTCAGTGTATTATACAGAACACGGGTCCCAAAAAGGCAGGGAAGGAGTAGACACTGTCACCCAGCACCATTTTGACACCAAAGGGCACATCCTTGCTGATACACAGCATTTAAGCCAGGAGTGGGCAGAGCCTCCCCCAGCACTACAGCTGCAGAAAGCACTTTCTCACTAGAGCAGGCTGGAAAAAAAGAAAAGTTTCTGGTGCATGGAAGAAGTTGTTTTCTTGAAATTTCCCCTGACCAGAAGCTACTTTGACCCTGCAGCTGCTCAGCGAGACTGATGCCTTTGTCAGCAGGGAGAGGAAAAAATGTCCTTATTCAAAGAGCAGCTGCAGGGGAACCTCTCCCCAAGGCCACTCCAGCCGCAAGCCCCCTGGTGCGGTGGGAGCCCTCCAGTGACGTCCATGGAGGGGCACCCTGTGGCGTGTCTACCCCCAGCACAGACCTCTCTGAGGAGCCTGGGTAGCAATTCCTCCCTGTCTGCTTGGCTGCCATTTTTCCCAAGGCTCTGCTGGTTTATTCTTTTGTCCAAACAAAAACAAAACAAAACAAAACAAAACAAAACAAAACAAAACAAAAAAAAAAAAAAAAAAAAAAAAAGCTCATTCACTCTGCATTTTCTGTGAAACTTCTGACCAACTCCAGCTCTCAGGGCTAAGCGCCATGGACTAGAGCAAATGAGGCAAGCATTCCTGTGGGTCTTCCTAACCCCTTGGCAGCCCAGGCAAGCAACTATCTCAGCCAGCCAGGGCCTGCTTTCCTGATGACCCCTTGGGACCCTGTCGGCACCCTGCACACATGCTGCCTTTCACCACTGGCACCCTGATGCGGTGAGGAAGGTAACAAAGATTCGCGTGCCACTGCCAGCAGGGAAGAGTTGTGCCTTTGCACGCTCCAGCACTTTATTGCTAGTTTAGGGAAGGCAGCCTTCGCAGAGCTGCTGTGCTGTGCAGGTGAACTGAATTCAGAGGTCCCCAAATGAGGCTTCTTTCTATTAAGTGGGTCTCACCACTGATGGAAATAGCAGCAGATGTAGCAATCTGCTGCCATTCGGCCTGAGGACTTGCAATCCCATCTCCAGTAGCCTCAGTCTGTGAGAAGGAGCTCCCTGGGTTGCCCGTCTACAAGCGTACCCATCTGCTTGAAACTGGACTTCCCCAATTTGTAACAGAGCCAAATCTGCAACTTTTTAAAATAATCCCAGGCTTTCATGTTTAAAAAAGCGAAACTGTGAGAGAAAGGCAGTGTCCAACCTCCCTACTCCAGCTGGGCTCCCTGAGGTTGCTTTAAGAGCTGTGTTTCAGTGCTGGATTCAGCCCAAGGATTTCTTTAGACAGCACAGGATCTTTGCAGAAGGTATTTCTTGCTGCAGAATAATATAATGGTCCCTTAATCAGTGCACATGACAAGGCCATTTATCATTTGCAAGCCAAATGTGAAAAGAACTGTGCTTTTGTTTTGCCTTTTCTCCTACCTCCTTCAGAGATCCCTTTTCCACCACTTTCAATCTGGGGATAAAGTGCTCATGACAGTGCTACATCAGCACGTCACATAAAATACTTTCAGCTTCCTTCCTGTTACTGTCTAGAGACCACATCAGAGATGTGTTTTCAAGGAACCAAATCTCTTAACTGATTTTTAAATCCCATCTAAAGTTTGTGACTTCTCCTTGGAAAATGTGTCCATGCAGGGCAAGCACTGGGAATACTTTGTCCCAATGGCTTGACTTACTCAGCTCCAGTGTTTGCACAGCAGCCCATACATTAAAAAGACAGCCGGCAAAACCCCTTTACAATTTGTAAGCATCTCACATCTACCTGAAGAAAATAATTATGTAAATTTTCTGCTCCCCTGGAGAGGTTTTGGAAGAAAACTAAAGAAATGCGATACGAAAAAGTGCTCAGGGCTGCCATTTTGCACCATAACTCCTCTTCTCTCTGCAGTTGCCTGCCCCACTACCCTGTCAGTTTGATAACTCTGCTTTGCTCCCACTGCTTCAAATAGGCACCAGCCACCATTTAGACAGTTTGGCAAATGGGCTACCCACAAACTTGTCCCGGATGAATGCACCAGGGTGGTACATAGCAGCATGGGGCCTGTAGGTCAGCTGCAGCTGATATCAGCAGTTGAAAGGAGTACCCCAAAAAGTGCAGCCAAATATCCAGAATTAGGATATCAAATAAGCAAGACTTGCCTGTGTCACCACATTGTGATCACCCAAAGAAATTGCTTGTGGCAATGCTAGACAAAAAAACATTCAGCTGGAAATGGGATTTTTAAGTGGAAGTTATCCCTGTGATCAAGCATATAAAACAAACCCTTTTTCTTTCCTCTCCTAATATGTGGCATTTTGGACTAGGTTCATACACCTCTCTGTTTTTCCCCTTTCCCAGTTCCAACACCAATCTTTGTTGTTACTAACATAAAGAAAACAAACCTGAGGTCTCTACATATCTACAGAGTTGTGCCCTTCCAAGGCAGTTTTTTTATCACTTACATGCTACCCTCCAGATAAGTGTGATTTTGACTATTATTTTCCAAGAACATTACTGAATACTGATTTTATGATTGCACATTCCCTTGAGTTCCCTGAACCACAGCTTGTCCATGCAAACAATAAGTTCAGTAAACAAATGATCTGTGAAATAATTGCATATGAATGACATGTACTTAATAAAGGGTGCTGTATTATGTCCTTGAGCACGCTGATAGTTCAACAAGAGGGAAAGAAAAGGGAGAACATTCTCATAGTTGCACTGCATTAGGTTCTCACAGCTACATGGAATGAAGTGCATTGCTGCATAAACAGGCAATCAAACCTTTTGCCTTGTGGCTCTCATAATTACATACAGAAGGGAAATAAAGGATTTTTTGCGCTGCATGCAGAAATAACCTTTGATTACAAAATTGATTGTTAAAAAGAAGTGACAGATCTTCAATACCTAAAAAAAAATAAATCAAATGTTAGAGTAAAACTTTTCAACATTTCTCTCTCTCTCCTGCATTCTCACTTTGGTTTTTCTTTATCTAGCAATGCCTTTCAGTGTTCCTTAATACTCTGCATGAACTATCAAATTAAAAGCTTTTAACTTAATGGGAATACTAATCCTACCGGGACGTGTTTGCCTAGCTGCGCTTATCATCCCATCATGGGAGGGATTTTTTTTTTCTCAGGATTTCCTTTGATTCGTGTTCTACAGCAGAGAAGTGAAGGCAGCAGAACAGCTGACTGCTGCTAACAATTGTGGAAAAGCTGAGACATTATAGCCATTCTGTGAATTAAAATACTGCAGCTATTATCTAAAATTGGCAGCAGAGAATTCCTACGGGTTTTCAAGATATATCGCTTTGGCAGCATCTGCATATGTGAGAACCGGGGCAGACTGTAAGAGCTTGTTGCCTTCACTGGATAACCCCACTGTTACAGCCCTTTGAAACTTTGCACAATTGTGAAACGAGATCCTTCGACTTTCGCCATGGTAACACCCCTGTTGTTTTCATTTATTGACAGTGGAAGGCCTGAAAGTAGTGGAGATTGAGAAATGCAAGAGTGACATTAAAAAGATGAGGGAGGAAATGGCAGCAAGAAGCAGCAGGTAAGTTCTGCTTTGGACCTAACCGAAGAAATAAGCATCTGTTTTCAACCCCCAATGCAACGTTTCTGCAGAATTGAGTTACCTTCTGGGCTTGGAAGTAAAGGAGCAAGGAAACCAATAACCATTAAGGACAGTGGCTTTAATTTGACATTTGAAGATCTACAGTAATTCATCAGTTAAAATAGCTTGGGCCATGGGAACAGAGGAAAAGGAGGTCTTGCAACAGAGAGTTACTTCTCACCATACAGAATGGGAATTCTTCATCCAGATTTACTGGTAGAGAGGGAATGGGTAAAGAACTCCTGTGTAGTGAGGCATTTGGTTGGGAACCAGCTAGCACTCGAACCGGCTCCAATATATTCTGGGAAAATATCAAATAAATATGTAGCAGTTCTTCTGATCTCATGCTATTATAAAACATGCATGTCAAATTCAACAAGAAATCGGGGATTTACTTTCTAATTCAAGGGCTCACTGTGATTGTGAAGCTCGGTTTCGCTGTAATTAAAACAACAGCATAAAAAATTGCTTTTTTTTTTATGGTATGTGGTCTTGGCTGGAAAGTCTGCCCCCTTTGTCACTGAAATACCCATTAGGACAAACAAATCATCACTGAGAGATTATGAATACTTCTGGGAAGGTAGCTGAAGAGGGATATACTCTCTTGCTCAAAGTGTGGGTAAAGGGGAGTTTTCTCAGCCAATATAACTATGCTATCTTGACAACCTCTCTCTTTTTCTTCATCTGGGGTCAAATTCTCTGACCTTTAATCAAAGCTATTTCCTACTGAGGGCAATGGGAGATTTGCTAAAAGAATTAGGCCTTATAATCACTCGCTTTTATAAATTTTGCTATCCAGATATGTCAGCAGGCACAGTGTTAATACATTCCTATTAAGTCTAAGGCCAAGCTTGGCTGTCATCCTAGCATAAATGCAAAGTAAGATTATTAACCTCAGATCTGCTCCAGATTTATACCAGTAGGATGGATTGCAGTTCGCCCTGTGACTTGCATCATTTCTTGTTCAGGTGTGTGAGGAAATCTCATTAGAAAAACTAGAGCTCAGATTGGCAGCAAACACAAAAACATGTATGCTGATTTGTGCAGGGTGTGATGTGAATAACATGTGTGCCCATGCACGTGTCTTTACTTTTCCCAAACTGTTGCAGGGAGCTGGGAGAGCTGCCTTTATGAGCATAGTGATGCTCAGGCAAATAGGAAATTAAAAACAAAACAAAAAAAGTTTTGGCAACTTCATGTTTGTCCAGTTGCCTCCACACACATCAGGAAGTATGAGACTGTCCTAGTAGCAGCCATGACTCATTCCTGTCCCAGATCTTGTCACCTTACAATCTATATTTTGTAGTATAAACAGCAATCTGTTAACAAGAAAAACAGGAATGGGGAGTGTTAAGTCTGCCCAGTGCAGCCAATTGAGGCTTAGTCTTCACCGGGGGCTTGTGCTGAGCTATAACATCTGCCGACAGCCAGAGATCAGCATGGGGTGTGATGCTGGAAAACTGTGGTAAAAATGGGTGTGGTGCTCAGCAGCTGGTAGTGCTGGGCACAGACACCCAAGCTAGCTTGTTCTGAGCTCATGCTACATAGCTGCTTTTGCTGAAGCAGGAGCCTAACTTGCTCTGCCCAGCACCACTTCATGCCCTACCGATGTAGCAGCCACCTGTCACAGCTCTCCTGGGTTGCCTTGAGCTGGGTCTTCCTCCTCTCAGCTGCACAAAAGCTCCTTCTCCTTGCACAAAATTCTGCCCATGATTATCTGTGCCCTAAGGGCTTGAGTGTCAAAGCAGCAGCTAGGTGTGGCTAGGTTCAGTGTGTAGCCAGGTGTGGTTACCAGTCACCTCTTTTTGCAGTAAGACTAGGAAGAGGGTGCTCTTTGGTGACTGGCTATTAAGAGGGACCCCATTGGGAGCTGCTGAGGAATGAGCTGTGATTCCCTATTCCCAAGCGACCATGGCTCTGCAGGAGCCATGCCAACTAGCCCGCAGTGACCCCTGCCTAGGGGTGCTTCACCCCAGAGTGGCTGAGCAATCTCTCTCCCATTGGCGTGGGGTACGTGCATGCTGTGGGGAGAATAGAGGCATCTCAGAGCAAGCGGAAATAGTTTTGCTCCTATTTAGACTTGTCATCCCTTGTGCAATGTCATTTGCTAGATAATGTGTTACAGTTGCAATTAGGGATCACATCTAAATTTAATGAATAAATACGTGTGAGTGCATATATTCCTTCAATAATATCACAGAGTACACAGCTGTGTTCTTCTATGCTTACATATTCTTACATTTGCGCTTACATTACCAAACAACAGAGTAAGGGTGAACAGCTAGATTTATAAAAATCATGCACAGTGAATTGTGCATTTCTCCTCTTCAGAAGAGCAAAGCAGCCCCACTTGCATCCCCTTAAATTGCTTTTTTTGCTAGCCTGCTTTTTGTGCTCACCATTGGCAGATGCTAATAACATTATAGTGTCATTTAAAATCATGATCATTTGCAGATACAGTTTTACATTTGTAAAGGTCTGATGCATCCTGGCTCTGGTGTGTTCCCCAGCGTGGTAGGATGAAGGCTTTGATGTCTTACTGCAGCTGGGAATTAGAGATAGTTGGCTGACCCTCAGCTAACCCTGGCAGCCAGCTCCAATTAGGGCAAGGAATGCCCCAAACTCACTATTTTTATCCTACTAATACCCCTCACAGTGGAGTTTTGAGGAAACAGCTTTAGAAATGATTAAGACAGCCAACTCATTTTCACCAACTGAGAATCTCCCTAAATGGGGCAGGAAAAGGCAGCTGGTTGAAGCCAGCTGACCACCGTTCAGGATTCAGACATCACCATCAGAAATGACAGCCGACATCAGTGTTAAGAGGAGTAAAGAAAAGAGACCTGGACCAATTCCCAACAGAGAAGAGAAGCACTAAAAAGAGATGCAATACAGAATATGTGAAATAATTTTAGAAGGGACAAATAAAGTTAATGGAATACTTTGTTTGGATTCTTTTCAGGGGTTTCTTTTCGCTTTATTTGGCCAGAGGCTTCAAAAACTGAGAAAGGATAATCCAAATGTTAGGACTACAGGGATAAATGCAAAATACAAGCAGATCGTGTTCACATAAGAGTTATTAAAGTCCATATGACCAGCTATCTGGGAAACATGTGCTGAGTTAAAGTATCATGATTGCCATGGGTGATACTACAGAACTCTTAGTTTTGTTGTGCCCCCCATGGCTGTAAGGCAAGAAATGGCTCTCACACTGCAGTGCAGCAACCTAGTTGTTCTGCAAAGGCTGTAAGGCCGAGGTGCATCTCTCACCATCATGGTCCTCTGTTCAGTTGGGATAGCATCAGCTTGGCTCTTCCATATGCAGAGAAGGAAGAGTAGGTAACTGGCAGTGGGTGCTGCTGTTAATAACTAGGCAAGTGTTAATTACCTGTAATTTCTGGCAGTGGCTCCCTTCCTCCAGGGATGGGGAGCCAAGCAGACCGTGCCTGCCTAGCCTGTACCTTACTGCTGTTGTCACGCCTGAAGGGCAGCAGGCAAGATGGTCATGCCATCAAAATGGATGGTCTTACCAAGGATTTATGAGGACTGGAGCTGGGCTGCAATGTCATAGGCTCAGCGGATGCCTACACTAGTAAATAAGTACAGGCATGCCGGTGTCCATACTCAGCATGGCCCCTGGCAGGGCTCTGCCATCCTCGGATAACTATACCTGCCATGGAGAGCACACTGCCCACTGAAGGGAAAGTTACTTGTTTGAAATAGAAGCGACTGCGTATCCATGGATACATGTCTGAAGATAGACACTCCTTGTTTGGGTTCAAATAGACAGAAGGGGCAACAACGGCGTTGCACAAGGGAAGAAAATCCTAAACCGGATCACACTTTTAAAGCATTTGAGCAACACCACATTAAAAAGGGTTGGGGAGTGAGGTAATTCTCCAAGTGATGCCTACTGAGAGTCCAGATTACTTCTGGCACTTTTCAAGGCACTGTGGTTCTGTTTCCACAATGTTAAGAGCTGAGTATTTCATTTCAGGACTAACTGTCCCTGCAAATACAGCTTTTTGGATGAAAACAAGAGGCCGACTCCCCGGCGGGATGTGCCATCCTACCCAAAGGTACCACGCAATTCTTTCTCTTTCTAGAATCCTACCACATGCTTGCCTGTGGTGACTTAAAGTTGGATCCTCAGTAGTCTATAATACTTGAAAGCTCATTAGTGTTTGAAATGTTAATGAACATTTTGCATTCGTCAACATTTAACACTCTTTTGTCTAGTTATATTTGTTTATTCTCCATGCTCGTAGCAAACAATCAAATAGCCTATAATGTTGTATTCTAATTGAAAATAGTGCTGCTGCCTGTTTTCTCCTAATGGATTATTTTTTAATTTAAAAAGTAATTTATGGGGATGCTTCACCTAGGGAAACAAAGAGAAAATGCGACATTGGATTCTCTCCAGAATGATTCATTGTCCCTGTGAAAATGAGTTACTGTATTTGCTAGAGAAAACAGTAATGCTTGAAGAAAAATGTCTACTGGGCAAGTACAAGTACAAATCCACAGTGATAAATGAAGCTGAAACCATGCAGCACACAGGATCTTTGGTCCCAGCACCAGCAGTCTTTGCCCAGAGGAATTATTCAAAGATAACAGGTTATGTCTGCACAACGCCAAGTTCACACCTTGAGAAAATACCAGCTCGAACTTGTGCAAATCATAGTTAACATGTGCATTTGTATGCACACATCAAAGCCAGCTCAGCCACTTCCAAGTTCACATGGTCCCGTGTGATGCAAGTGTATGATATGGACATGCATCCTTGCATATTTGTCTTCAGGGCCTTACAGAGCAAAAAATTATAAGTTCTGCTGTTTATTCCACTCTGCCTAGCAAAAGTGACCTCTAGGTCTCTGAAGCAGACATCAGGAGACTTACATTTCTTTTAATTAACTTTTGCCCAAAAGGCTTGTACTCCTGACTCTAACACGTTTTCTCAAAACATATCAGTTCTAAAAATTAATTTTTCCCTTGATAAGTATATATGTCAGATCAACCTTGATCTATTGCTGTGATATTAGGATCTTGGATTAACAACAAGTGCAAAAGAGTTGTACTAACTGACTGCCAAGTAAACTGCTAGTCTGTGTTGTCCCTATACCAAAGCTCATAGGATTTTTGTTTTCAGAAGTTTGGGTTCTGTTTGACAGATTTGTAAAATTTGTTATCAGCTGTCAAGTGGTGGATTTGCCCAATGTCAGTGAGGCTAGGAAGTGATAGCCCACTGAAAGAAGATATTGTTACAACACTGTTATCTAATAAGAAATCTGTACAGCTAATTTACAGATTTCTTACAGAATGACATATTAAATGTACATTATGTAGGCAAATGTAAAAATCATTGCCCCCTCAAGAATGAAAATTAATCTTCAGTGTTATTCTTCCTTGGATTAAGTATCAACAGTTTGATGGCTCAGAAAATTTCATTCAGCTGCTCAGTACAGTAAGCCCAAACTAATTAGAGACAGCCATGGTAAATGAGCCAATTAATGCTACAAGGTTTTTGTGTCCCAGAAAGGCTCTGATCAATAGAGTCTTGAAAATATGATTTGGTAGAGTCCAGATCTCCCCTGGTCCTTTAACTCTCCACATTCCTTTTTAAAAAAATTTGTATACAAATAGTAACTGGCCAATGAGCTTGATTTTGTTTTAAGCCTCTAAGCGTAATGGTGAAAAAATGTTTGAATCTTGCAGGCTGACAGCCAATTTGAAAATGTAGGCGTTCTTGAAAAAATACTCAAAATAAGAGCATAAATCATCTGAAAGTAAATATATCATGCCCACGAGATAATTTAACACTATAAGCATAGGCACTTCACACCACCCAGCCATGACTGTGTGCACCGATTGTGACTGATGTTCTGCAGGCAGCAAAACTAGTGCCACCAGGGATGGGTCTGTGCCCTGGCGCCTCTTATGTCCCCTTGCTGGATTTACTTGCAACCCCATCCATAACACCTCCGCTCTCCTCCCTTTTCTCCCGAACCCTCCATCTCCCTGCTCCAGAAGCATCTTCACCCATCATTGGCCTGCCAGCTGGTGCTGTGGCAGGCAGAGAGCTGCCTTGGGGATTGCTGCCTGCCAGGCGTCAGCATCCTGGCATGAGCACGAGCAGCCAGTGGGGAGGGAGAGGAGGGCTGGGCAGGCAGAGGGAGAGATGAGTTGCTTTGTCCTTGGGGAATGCAGCTAAACCCCACGTGAATGGGACCCCAGGAGTCCCAGGAATATGCGAACGGCAGGTCCCATACCAGGGCGGGGAGACCCTCACTTACACCGAAGGCCTTTCTGTCTGCAGTACATGCTGTCCCAGGAGACCATAGAAGCTCTTCGGAAACCAACCTTTGACGTCTGGCTGTGGGAGCCCAATGAGGTAAGGATGACATGTTAGCTGGGCTAGAGCTCTTTCTGGGAGCCAGCAAGGCCAGAAGAGCCCTTTGAGATGCCCTGCAGAGTTTGTTCCTGTTTCTGCCCTTAATCTCTCTTATTTTTTCAATTTTCCTGTCACACCAGAATACAGTACATTTTCCCTACAGATGCCAAATAGATTATGCTGATTATCATAACCTGAACCCTCTTCATTTCTCCTTTAATCTCTTCCTAGTAATGTCCTACAACAACCAGCACACTATCATTACTGCCACATGAATTCGTGCCATTTTATTTGAACAAATCGATCCCTACCAAAGTGTACACTTAAGCACATCATCAATAACTCTGCTCAAATCAATGAAGCTGTGTGCTGCTGTGTGAAGTCAGGCAGAGGGGCATGTATCGATTCATACCCTTTTAGACAAGGGTGTTTCTGTGATGCTTTCTGAATAGGTAGAAAAGCTGTGTGTATGACCTATTACTATTTTCTTATTGCTTCATTTTCTTATTTTTCTTATTGCTATTAGTACTGTTTGTTGTTCATCCCTTGTATTGCAGAAGGTTCTGGAAAGCCTATGTGTAAATCTCTGCAGAAACGTGAAGAAGGATGTTTCTGTAATGGCCAGCTTATAATATAATGTAAAACTAGATTCAGCAAATTCAAGAAAATCTCACTTAGGAAAAGTATAAGGGACAGGAGGACTAAACTTGGGTTTTTCCCAAGGGAAAGATTGGGTCATTCTAGCAGCACACCCAGCAGCAATGACATTAATTACCTTCTCAATCAAACGTTGTGCATTCAGAGTCATTCTGGCTCAGCACCTGTAGATCACCATGACAAGGAAAAATACTCCACACCGCACCCATGGGAGCAGCACATTTCTTTCAGGATATTTCATCTGGCTGGTAGAATAACAGAAGGACTCTCTGGTGGCTTTAGGTCCATCTTCCATTCACATAGGCTGGCAGAGCTTCCCTTGTGCAGTCCATGCCAAGCTGAGGCTGGTGCTCTGCAGTGACTGCTCCCTCTCCAGGCCCTTTTCTCTGTACCAGAGCCATACAACTGCTCAGGCAAAATGGCTCGTCCCCAGCTTTTGAACGCCTGTCAGGTCTTTACAGCAAGAGAGAATTATGACCTGCCAGGTGGACCATGACACTGCTGGCTCATTGTTCTAAATATTAAGAAAGAATAGTGAAAGACAAAAAACATTATCCACAGATTCTTGTATGCTGAGGCATAGTATTTTAGCACAGTAACTCATTCAGAGTACTTAGGAAGCACTATATGATGGCATAAATGAGGCTAACAAGAGTGTGTGGAATTAGACATACACTGCAAGGAGGAGGGCTGCTCAGAAATAAGATACCACACAAACTCTGGTGAGCCGAGCACCATATGGGTTTATCTTACCCTTTAGCTCTGGTTTATGTTTACAGAGAATATTTCAATTCTGTCAATGCTTGTTTAGCAATGAGCATTTGCCCATGTACTCAATGTGGGGCATGCAGGTTCTAAAACATAATCTTCTGTAAACAAATTAATAATGTCGTGCTCCGCAGCATCTCAGTAAACAGAGCTATGCAGCAAGCTTGTGTTCTCTTTCTCTAATGCCCACTCACTCTCAAGCCTTTGAAGAGTCCAATATTCAAGCTTTTGCTGTTGACCAAGAAAGCTAAAAATTAAACCCAAGATTCTCATGTATGCAGGGGCAGGAGCTTTGCGTCTCAAAGTCACCCTGCCACTCACCCAAAGCTCTCTTGGCAACATCTGGAGGGAGGTAGGCATTTCTGAGGGTAATTCAGCTCTTCTAGATAAAGTTTATTGTCTCAGACAGTCTTTTCTGAAACTATTGCAAAACATATATTCTAGCTCAGAGACTAGGAACAAGACAGGGTGGTCTACAGCAAAATGCTGGCTTTGTGATCTGAGCACAGTTCAGACCGTGACATTGTCCCTCAAGTCTTGCAGGAAAGTCTCTTTCTTCCTGTTCAGATAACTCAAAACCAGACCCCTTGTTACTGCATGAACTGTATATATTCCCTGGATAAATACAATGTTTTGTTAGAGGAAATATTTTTTCTGGAGAGTTTTTAAGAGCCTAAATAACAGAAACTTGGTCTCCAAGGCCATATTTGTGACATTACACTGATCATGTTAAAAACTTTGGGATCAATCTACTGTCTAAGAACTGTGTCTGCTAGTGGCTACATTTCATCCCCTGCTGATTTTGCCTTCAGAAATGGGAATGCAGACACATAAACCGCTGAACTCTTAGAATTCTATTAATTTCTGACTGGTGGCAGTGGTTAAATGCCCAAGACACATCAGATTGTCAATACTCTTCTTCTGCAATATTTTAAAACCCAGAAGATTAATTAGGCGTGGTAGTGCTAAACTATCTGCAACCCACTTCATGCAGCAGAGCAGATGTTGTCTAGAAGAGGAGCCTGCATTTGCATTTCAGCTATTGGGATTCATAGTTACAGTTTATGAGAGTGGATGGTCACAAACTGCAATTTGGTAGTGTTATAACAGGAGATCTTTTGTTAATCAAGAAATCCAAGTTAAGATAGTGCCTTTAGGAACTCACAAAAACTCATAAAGGAATAAGATATTGTCACTTTTTCTAGAATAAATGTTCCTTTAAAGATCTCTGATTTTCGTCTGTTGTTTTCTATACAGCTAGGGCCTGATTCATTTCTGTACAGCTTGGGCCTCTGGTGTCAGTGGAAAAACTCCCACTGATTTCATTGAGCATTAGAACATATTCCAGCTGAATTAGAAAAATAGCAATATTCTTTTTGTGAGAAGGAATGGCTATGATACGCGTGAATCACAATTACCAAAGAGAGCTGGTGTGATTCAAAGCCCTGCACAAAACCTATGAAGTCAACAGCAATCTGTCTACTTCAAAAAGCTTTCAGAACCTCTCTGTCTCCCCTCTTGCTCTGTCTTTAATAATGCAATCTTTGAACATCTTTCTTTCATCTTAACAAGAGGGCTCTGCAATTATTTGATGCTTGCAAGGAGGAAATTCACTCTTCAGTGTATCATAAAGTGAAGTGATATTCGCCAAGCCAATAACCTATCTGCTCCTGGCTGCAGATGCTGAGTTGTTTGGAACATATGTACCATGATCTTGGGTTGGTAAAAGACTTCAACATCAATCCTATCACGCTAAAGAGGTGGTTGGTAAGTATTTCAAATTCCTGATATTTGCAATTTTTCAAATTCAAAAATCAATAAATAAAACATTTAGTCATGGAATTAACTTAACTCACATGAGTAATTCCATTGAAAGCAGTCAACCTATACAAATTCTGAAAATTAAGTACTTGGGCAAATGTTTGCATTCTTGTGGTAACAGATGACATTTTTTTAACTGTTTTACATTTGTTATCCGAGCTTTCTATTACTGAAAGAAGTTAATTTCTGATTAATAGTCTTCGTACCTAGTGTATATGGAGACAAGTGTCTATGGCCTAAAAAAGCCAGTAGGTTCCATAAGAATTAGATGTCCTGAATCACAGTGAGTAAAAACAAGGCAAGAAGGAAAAGGAATTGCTGAGAAGTTAACTAACTTTATTCCCCTTGGTCTTTAGTGTTGAGAATGTTGCAGAGATACATGACATGATAAAGATGAGATCATATCCAAACTAAGATGTCTAAAGAAGAAACACTGGAATATTTAAAAACCAATAAGTTATCAGGTTCAAGGAAGAGCATAAGAAAGAATTTGCCAAAAAGCTGAAGAATATATTGGCTTTCTCAGAAAAACCCATCATGTTCCTAGAGGACTGTAGAACAGTAAATATTCTACCCATTGTTTAAAAAGGATGTAGGGATACTCTGAAGGATTATGGTCAGTAAAATTTACGTCTCTGACAAATTGATTGAAACGATAATTAAAAATATCATTATGTGAAGTTCATTATACAGATGTTTCATATGATTCCTGTAGCGAAGAATTATATCTCACTAATCTTTTCTAATTACCTGAAGGGTATGGACAGAATAGAAGGAACTGTTTTACATGATTGATGTAGACTCCCAGAAAGGCCTGAACAAATTCCACAAATTCAGAAGGTGACTAGAAAACACAAAGAAAACACTGTGTTCATCATGAGTATAGCAAAAGCAAAAAGCACCTGGGCACCAGCATATGCAAGGCAGTGACTGTCACTGCTTGGTGTGCTGCTGGTGGCTGAAGCTAGCAAGGCATTAGGCTGATCAGAGACCGGAGTAAGGGATAAAATGGTCCAATGTTGCCATGCCTCCAAAAACGCTTACCTAGAATTTACACCTAGGACTGGTTAAGTCTTTTTAGAAAAGATGGTATGGCTACATTAAAAAAAGATATAAAAAATGCTTGAGACCTAGGAAATCTCTCCCTGAACTTCAAAGGCAGATGAAAAGCTCGGTATTGTTGACCCTTAGAAAACAGGTGAACAGAAGGAGTGGGATGAAACCCAATACAATCAAGGCTAGCACACAGTAGATAAAACAGAAAATTTCCTCCTCCTGTCTCACAGCCTGAAAACATGGGAAGCAAGGTGATATGTCAACACATATCAACATGCCACCCACACACGTTACTGCAGGCAGCTTCCTGTTAGCTTGTATCTCCAGGTAATTTGTTCCTATTAGCATTTAAGACAGCCTCTTTTGGAACAACAAGGGGAGTTTATTATGTAATTTCTACAAAGGTAAGACAGGGTGAGATTTCCTTTCTTAAACACTAGCTTTGCAGAAAGATGATTTTAAAAAGCCCCAAGGACTCTGCTTCAGACTATGATACTTCTCCAGGCGCGGTATGAGCACCAGTTTGAATTTAAGTGGGTGAGAAAAGGTTTTCTTGCTCCCACATCCAATGGCTACAGAATGTTCCAGAAAGGGGAGGAAGGGATGACTAATACAACCCAGTCACTCCAGCCCTTCAGTGCTCTGAGTCAGGAGTCCCCTGGGATGCTCTGGGCTCCACTGCAGGATGTGTACGTTTACATCTGTGCGGTGTTGTACGGTGCCTGGGCATGACCACAGCATCCATGGGGAGGCTGTGAGAAACTGCCCACTGCCTGTGGGCCTGGCTGTCAACCATACTGTGCCACTCATTTTAAAATAATGTAATATGTTTGTAAAGTCCTCGCTGCAGAATAATCTGAGCAGCTTTTGCAACGAAACCCCCAAATATTGAACAAGCACTGAAAACACACAGTTCTCCTGACCTCATCCAGAGCTTTGAGGCTTCCTAGAAGTCAGGTCCCAGGTTGAAGGGTTTGATCCTGGTGGTGCCTGAGATGTATTTAAGTAGATTCACTATTTAGCTAGAGAAGGGGACACAAATTTCCTTCATGTCATTAATTCAGGCTCAGTAATTGAAGCATGTGCATAAGGGCTCTCTAGGGTCCAGGCTATGGAGGATTCAGCAGAAGGGGTCCAGCAGGGCTGCTGATGCTTGGCTCTTTTGTGGAGGACAGAATACCAAAGGCTACCCAGTGCACTGAAAGAATGACTGTGGCATGTGTTAACCCAGCTGTGCCAGCTTCACTCAGCTAGCCTGGCTAACAGTAGCGAGGACACATGGAAAGACAAGCTTTAGTTTGGATTTGTGATGAGGGCACATAGCCAGGATCTGAAGAACATTAAAACACACAAAAATCAGTCCTTGACTGTGCCTATATGGCTAAATCTCTCCCGTGCTGCCTAGCGTAGGAAATCCACACAGGTATGCTAGCGCATGTACATTCACATCTTCACTTTGTCAAGCAGCACATCCCAAAGTGCCACCTCTGAGCATCTGCAAATGAAATAACTACATTTCAGCCTTGAAGATTTCAAAGCTGCCATTTGCCTTCAGCGAGAGAGGGGAATGGGGATGTAGTTTGAGTTCTTTACACACCCCAAAGTCACTGTTTAACCACTGCAGTTTGTAATACAAATTCAGGATGAAAGCACAGAGGCCTATCTCAAGACTGAAATGTATCTACTTGCAGCTGTGCTGGGATACTTACCCATTGCTAGCTGGTATGAGAGAGAAGTTGCTATGAGTTTACTTCTCAACAAATTCTTGAAAGGGAGCAATCTCTCACCCTCCCCCAGGAAGGCAGAGGGTGTCAGATGGACTTCTGCTGTCACTCTGTCCTAGCAGAAAGTAATACTGGGCTCCATAGGACTTCTGTAGGGGTATACAGTGCTTCCAGGGAGGCTGGGAAGCATATGTAATCATGTTTTTATAAAGAAAGACATCTTCTGTCTCTGACTGCCTCATTCCCCCTCTCTGCAGCTGTGTATTCATGACAATTACAGAAACAACCCCTTCCATAATTTCCGGCACTGCTTCTGTGTGACCCAGATGATGTACAGCATGATCTCGCTCTGCAGCCTCCAGGTATGCCCCCCACCTCGATAGCATCATTCCGTTTCCATCATGGGGCACATGTTTGTCCACTGAGCATCACTGTGCCACCTTCCTTGCAAATCAGGCCACCAGCTTGCTAGCAACTGATGAGCTTTGCAGTAGCTGCACTTTTTCAGTCCCTGGCGAGAGGAGGAGAGATGTTGCATTCCTACCTCTGGCTGCCTGCTCAGCCGTCCCGTCGCACACCCCAAGCACTGCACAGCTTTCTGAGGCTGCTGGGAAGATACCTCCACCTCCTGGATAGCCCCATTTTGTACACTGAAGCTCTTTTGACACTCTGATAGCATGAAACATCTATGAATCAGATCCAAAAGCCTACTAAATTACGGTCTGTGAATATGGTCTTCATCTGTGACACAAAATGTTCCCATGAGAGGTTTACTCCAAATGTGTGCTTGTGCGTGGGTGAGCTACTGCAAACAATGCCTTGCATGTACTGTATGCAGTATTCACGTTTGACCCATATTTTGTCCAAAACTATAGGCATCATTTGTTGTCACTGACTGGATAACTTGTGTTTATATATTCATTTAATTTATGTACAGACTAGAATTTATTCAGCTAAAAACCTTTCTTCTTCACAGTTGAACATCTCAGTTACTGCCCTAAGTCTGTTTTCTTGCCAGTGAGAATATGAAGAAAATCTTGCTTTAATGGAAGTTCATCCTATTCAGAAACTGTGGGAACACAACACTTAATTTTTCTCACTCTTTTCATAACCTTAGTTAATGCAGAATGCAATGGCAACTAAGCTATCTTCCAGCCCTCCCTTAACTAATCAGGATGCTCAAATGACTTACAAGAGACTGTACTAATATCTCAGTTCTTTTATATGATCTCTGAAGTAATAGCGGGTTTCAAGCAAATTGCCTCCTCTGAGCTGCTATTATTTAATGCAACAAAGGCAAATCTGAGTCATTTGTACTGGAAGGGAAGGCAGAATTCTCTGTCTTGACTGAAGTAAATTGATCTATGGAAAAATACTTCATTTTGCTTGGGTTTGCATTTCTCTGAAAAGTAACTGTGGGTGCTTTTTTTACTTCTTTTCATTTATGGGGATAGAGGAAGTAGAAATCATAATACTACATGAATATTTTGTATTTTACAGGAGAAATTTTCCCAAATTGACATCTTGATTCTTATGACTGCAGCAGTATGCCATGACTTGGACCATCCAGGCTATAACAATACGTAAGTCTGTCTCTTGCTTTTTCTTCCCTTAAAATTTATTGGGAAGGTAATACCAGCTGGCATTTTTGGTAGACCAGGTTTTCCTTCTCACAGCTTGGGCTGGCCATGACCTTCCCTCATGGCCCTGCTGTTCACTCACACGTGGGCCAAGGCAGAGCCTGCAGAGAACTCGGGTCTGGCTGGGGGCTGCCAGCTGTCCTTGGTTCTCTAAGGAAAATGCTTTTTCAGATTTCTATTCCAATACTTTCCCCAGCTCCTGAGAAACTAAGGTAAAATGTTTTACAGCTGAGAGAGAGGGCGTAAAGGTTTATAGCTCCATTGACTGAAATGGAATAATTACTCTAAAATGAAAAGGGTGATTTAACTTGCACATTATTTCATAATTATATATCATGAAGTGCATATTATTTGATTCATTATCATGTGAGGAAATTAGACTTGTTGACCCATGGACAATTTTGTGTGCATGTATGTATATGTGAAAAAGAGAGAGAATCTAATTTATTTGTTGTCATTCAGTAAATAAGGGCAGAACCCAGTTCTGACTGGGATCAGTGAGAATCTCTCCGTTGACCTTAGTGGGGGTTGAGTGAAGCCCAGACAGTTGCTTCTGTGTTTGTTCTATGTCATTTTAAGCTACAGAGACTTGGTAAAATTAAAAAAACTCCAAACCCTATGGGGGAATAGTGTCTGAGATTATATTAAAGTAATATCTATCTTCTTTAAAAATCTGATTTAGTAGTAACAATCAAAACATAAACTGCAGCTAATTGAATAAGTATTGAAAAGAATGTAAATAAAAGTAAGCAGCACGGTTTAGAGCAGCTGGTGTGTGTCTGCAGGAGTTCTCATTGTTTTTCTTCACATCAGCTATCAGATAAACGCACGAACTGAGCTTGCAGTACGCTACAATGACATCTCCCCACTGGAGAACCACCACTGTGCTGTGGCTTTCCAGATCATTTCCCAGCCAGAATACAACATTTTCTCCAATGTTGATCAGGACCAGTTCAAACAGATAAGACAGGTATGAATGCTGTTCCTATCTGTGTTGTACAAACTGTTCCTGAAAATATAAGTACTCACAGACTTCCCTGCTGTACAACATGAGTGAATCATTCTTGCTAGAGGGTAGGACTGAAAAAGCCCCTCACACTAGAAGGTTCCAAGAGCGATTCTTGGAAAATTTCCACAGCAGCACTCCCTGGATTGTCTTACTGAGAAATAATGAGTACATCCTGACTATTAAAGCCTGTGACATTTTGGCGGTAGATATTTATATTATTGAAGGAACCAATTAGCTCTGACTGGGAAAGAATTAAGCTCTCATGGCAGAAGTTTATGCTTTAAAAGAACATTGTATTAATTTTAAGAGGGGCTTCAAAATGGGAAAATATTTACAACAGCAGAACACTTGTACTGTTTGTTGAAAGAGGCTCTGGTGTACTGGGAGTCATCACAGCTATCTCTGAGACAGTGAACAATGCTGAGAATCTCATAAGAGCACCAAGGGCCAAAATTCGATCTTAGTTTCCATGTTACACGTTCCTTACACACCAAATGAAAAAATAGACCAATGTAAGGGCTCACATACTGGTCTGGCTGAGGTTACTGATTCTGGCAGCGCATGAGAAGCAGGCATGGGCCCAAAATAGATAGATCTGCATGAAAACCCACAACTTTAAATTAACCACATCTCCCATCATAAACTCTGCCCAGCAGGAGGATACAGAGCTCCTAACACATTGTCTGCATCTGGGTGTTTCAAAGCCCTTAATCCAAGGAGGATGAGCACAGAGAACATCCACATCTATGGATCTTCATCTCTTCCTAAGGCCACTAATAGTCAGCAGCAAAACCTATAGTGCTTTCCAAGGAGCCAAAAGTGGATCTTGGCAAATAGAGTGTGGCTTTTAACATCCTGTTGTACAGTTCATTTTTCCACAATTAGTCAATCGGAGAGGAAAGAGCTCAATGCCTCTGGAATATCACACCAGTGTTACAGATCAATCCAACCATGATCTTCATATACCATGAACTCTTTATAACCCTCTTCCAGTTTGCTTGGCAGTTTCAAGTCAGAAATTTTCCCTTTTGGTGTTAACAATGTAATTCATCTGAGCCTTTTTGTGTGTAAGAAAGACCCTACTTTGCTCTGCAATAGTAGACTTTGTAAAGAATGCCAAGTTAATATGTGAATGTGTTTTCTTTGCTAGGGGATAATTACGTTAATCCTGGCTACAGACATGGCGAGACATGCAGAAATACTGGACTCTTTCAAGGAAAAAATGGAAAATTTTGATTACTCAAATGAAGAACACATGACCTGTGTAAGAAGGTTTTGTAGAATGTTATTTTTCTGTGCATAGTGTGAAAACTTGTAGATTAACATTTATTTGTTTAAAAAACAAGATTCAATATACATTATCAAAAACTAATCCTTCCTACATCCTCTGCCCCACCAAAAAGGATTACAATTTGGAAGTGCTCTATATAAAATAGAGCTAATCCAGTCATCTTTGACACGAGGGAACTCTCTCCCCAGCTGCCTCTGAGTGTTCCACAAACAACTTCATGGTCGTTTGTGGCTGAATCTTTTCATGCAGCAGATAAGTGCATGTTCCACTGTGACACATCCCAGGGCTACAGGCAGGGAAACTGAGGTAGGGAGGTGATAAATTATTTACACAGGGTAACTGAGAGAGTGGAAAATAATCCAGATCATTTAAGACCTCTGATTTAATCCTAAAACTTTCCTTCCTGTTTGAAAACATTGCCTCCCATTGCATTGTAAAGACACAGGTTCTGGATAGGGGGAAAGGGGCTGGCAATAAGACTGCAATATTAAAGTATTATCCTCTTTCAGCTGAAGATGGTACTGATAAAATGTTGTGATATCTCCAATGAAGTCCGCCCGATGGAAGTAGCGGAGCCCTGGGTAGATTGCTTACTAGAGGAATATTTTATGCAGGTAAGAATGAGGGAGAAATGCAATTGCACAGGTTGCTGCTCTTCCTGAATCCCACCTCAGCTACAGGTGCTCTGCTGCATGACAGCCCAATCTAGCTCTAAGATGGAAAGGCTTCTTTTACAGAAAGCAGGAGAAGGATGTCAGCAAGAAAATCTCTTCAGAAAGCAAGTGAATGCAATTGACTCTAATTTGCAGGTGAAAGACAAAAACAACCTAGAAATCCTAATGCTAGCAGACTGAAGCTTGTTCTCTGTAAAGCGGCTGCCTTGCAAGTTAGTTTGACGTATGATTATTGAGCCGAAAGGGCAAGAGAAAGATGTCAAGTAAACGATATCAAATATCACACAGGAACTAGTCAAGATAATTTTCACTGTGTGTGAACATTTGCCTAAAGAGAAAGCAGATGACGAGCTGAAGTGTGCAGTCAGACTTTAAGCTCCCCAGACCATTGTTCCTCGCTGGATTCCCAGGTGGACACAGTTTCTGTTTGCTTAAAAAAGGATCCCTGGAAGAGTAGCCCTCAGATGCCTCCAGCAAACAGGCTCTTGAGCACTGTGTAAGTGCTGCAGCAGTGGGATCTCAAGAGACACACAGCTGCAGTGCTCTGAGGAGGGGATGCCGGAGCTTTCTTGCGTCTTTTCTCTACACCTTGATAGGGTGCATGCTGAGGAGAGCTTCTTGCAAGAGGCAGACACCTCAGATGATGTGTCAGAAACACTCCTTGCTCACCACATCTGCAACTTTTTACTCAAAATTACAGTATCTGTGTGCCTTACTATTTTGGCCACCCAGCAACAGCACTATGTACCAAAAGACCCAATAATTGAGAAAGTCTGCAACAGGGTATATTTTTGCATGCACATGCACAGTCTGTGACCTCCTTGCACATGCACCCACACAGAAACAGTGAGCTATGTGGTCAAGTAGGAAGCTTGGTAAACTCACCGCAGTCAATGGAACTGTTTTGCATTGACTCAGCTAGACAGGTTTAGTTTTAATCACTAGTAAAGAAAGATATGTATTTTCTGGTTGAATGCCCAAAAATAATCACTCTCTGAAGCATGATGAGGAAATCAAAGACTTACTGTTCTCTTCCAGAGTGGCAAAAGCCATGACCACCTTTCTGAACGCTCAGAAATATTTTACCTCACAAGTCCCATGGGTTTGCAAAGAGAACCAGGTGGCCTCATTGTCCTGAAAGCCTGGAGGTGAACACTTCCATGCCAGTACTGGGCAGATATAACTGAACAGAGTTCTCTTTATTCAGATGTTTGATCTCAACAAAGCAGGATTCATTGGCCTGAGGGAAGCATATTGCTATTCTGTGCTATCTTTGGACACTACAGAGATCTGTATCTGAAGGCTACTGCTCTTTAGCTAGAGATCTACTTGGTATGTCACTCTGCTCACAGGCTTCTAGCCGAGATTAATATTTGTTAACTCTGGATTTGTTCCAGAGCGACCGAGAAAAATCTGAGGGCCTTCCAGTGGCACCATTCATGGACCGCGATAAAGTAACCAAACCGACAGCACAGATCGGCTTCCTGAAGTTCGTTCTCATCCCCATGTTCGAAACAGTAACAAAGGTAAGTCACTCAAGGCCAGAAGCAGAAGTGGGGGCATGAAAGCTTCAGTATTTGCTCTGACAGGTGTTTAGTTAGCCAGGGAAACAAGGATGTACAGTTCACATCCTGCCTTTCAGCTCATTTCTAGCACGTACAGGTTAATGAATACAAAAGGAAATGTTGATCTCTCTCATTTTCACCTAGCTATTTCCAGAAGTGGAGGAGGTGATGCTCCAGCCCCTTTGGGAATCCAGGGACCGCTATGAGGAATTAAAACAGATAGATGATGCTATGAAAGAGGTAAGTTCTATATATCTTATTGATAAAACAAATGTTATGATTGAATAAGTCGAACATTGTAATTTAATAGCAGTTTCATTCCAAAACAGTAGGAATGCTTATGGCATAATCATTATCATGAGAAACACCTTCATTACACGTGGCTGGAGAAAGGTGTGTACCACAAGCAATAAGTGTGTGCAAGAACGTGCCCTTGCAGAGTCCATCAGGCACCATACAAGCATGCCCATGGGAAGGAAGCTGCTTACTAGAGAGGGACCTGGAGACAAAACACAGAAATAAGCACCTGAGGGGAGTTAGGGGTATGTTAGCAAACATACCAGGAAGAAGCTATACATTCCCCTGAGAAGGAGTAAGCCTGGCCTAGATTGCAGCAAAATGGCCTGGAGTCAGGCAGTTCAAGGCACTGCACCACAAATGCATATGTTTCTTTCTGGGAAGATACTTTGACTGACATGTCTCATGTTTCAAGAATGTGCCTGAAAATTTATGGGGAATTATTCTCATATGCACAGCATCCAGTAGGATTAAACACAGAACCAATGCAGCTATTTTATGGCCCAGGCTGAATGGGGACCTCCATTTACAGTGTCCCTCATTTTTGCCATGTAAGGCTTAGGGGAGGTAGGATACGCATGTAACCCTGTCTACTCTCTTCGGCCACATCTGCATTGCTTAACAGGGCAGAGGCTGAGGCCAGGTCCTGGGAGTGAGTGCCCCACACCTGCAGTGCAGCAACAGGAGTGCTAGCCTGGCTCCCGCAGTGCCCTGCAGCCTATGACACTGTCCTGCACGCCTTCCTTGCACTCCTCTGTGAGTGCTTCTTTTTCCTGCCAGGGCAGATGACAAAACCTGCCCAAATGGCATCACAGTGTGGGAGTTTTCTGACATGAACAAATGTTATCATGTAGACAGGATATTATCAGTCATTCTGTCATTAAAATAAATTGTTAAGTGCCCTAGAGTACTAGTTGTGCTGATGTTGTTTGATATATGGGAAATGAAGGTTCACTCACTTGATCATCTCTTACTGGATGAGGGGAATAGTAGCTTAGATCCCACCTCCTCTCAAGTGCTTTGGAGGAAAAGCCCCTCAGCAGCACAAATACAAAGGCTGGTTAATCAAAGAGCACAAGCTTTGAGGGCGCTAAGTTATAAAGGAGAAGAAAGTCTTTAAGGCATTCTTCAGTTTGAAGTGGAACATTTCTCAAAGGAGGGAAAAAGAACTCAAATATGACTGCCAGACTTTCTGAGTCCTGTTCATCTTTCAAGTTGAGCCTAGATTTTACTTTTAGTTTACAGAAGCTGTCAAAACAGAAATTTTGTACAAACTGATGGAGCTTTAATTATGGTCTGTTGGCACAAGAGGTCTTAGGAAAATAGGAGAAGACTGAATTCAGAAATATGCTGAAATAGGAGAAGTTAGTTAATAATCCAAGAGCGTAGCATGGCAGAGGATGAGAAAGACTGAGTGCTGTTTACAGGACATATGTGTTCAGATTAAAATGTGCCTGTGATATACCAAACTACTGGCTGTTATTTCCCAAGAAATGTTGCACATGCCTTGTGCAGAGATGAGCATTCAACTCACAGCCGTGGTGTAAAGTGGCACTGTGTGAGTCAGGGGTATTAATCCTGCTTTGGTCTTCATTTCAGTTGCAGAAAAAGAAATGTGAAAGTTTGACCACCGGCAGTACTGAAAAGTGAGATGAAAAAGTCTTTGAGCAAAACAGAAGCCCTAAGGTTATTCTGGTTTTGAGAAATGCTGTATTTGCCAAACAGATGTGGTGGCTACATCAAAATCCAACTGGGACTATGTATACGGAGAGGTGGCAGGCATGGATGCCCTGCCTGCCTGCCTGCCTGCTGGGCGCCTTGCCTACAGCCTGCAGCCTGCTCGCACAGGCACTGCCACCATCGGGCACCAAGGGCTCCTCTCACTCCGGCAGAACCATCGCAGCCCCCGGCCCCGGCAGGACTTCCCCTGCGGACATTGCACAGATTGCAGCACAGCTCAAATCTCCAGCAGATTTGGTGACCACACTGACCACGGTCTGTAGAGACAAAGCAGAATTTAGCTAAGGAGCCTTTTCTATAAAATGATCCACTGGCATCCAAAAACAAAAGAAAATTTGTTTTAGTCAAGATCCTATATGTATGTATACAGCAGTATGCTAATTACAGCAGAGCTTAACAGATGCTTATATTCTGACAGGGGTCCTGGCATATATTTTTGTTTGCCTAGTAGGCCCTAATGACACATTTCTCTGTATTATTCTCTGAATTTTATAGTGTTCACAGTACACTCAGAAGCCCAGCATAATGGATGAAATTTTTTTTGTTGTTTTCTACACTAGAAGAAAACAGAAGAAACCTTTGTGAGTTTGCAGGTTCACTTTGTGGCCTGGTACAGCTAGATGTCAAGGGACCCTTCAGCGCAAGCAAAGAAGGGAGCACAAAGCTGAAACCACTGTGCAATCCAATTTTTATCCTCATGGATGCAAAAAGCAACAAGAAAAACCTTCAAAGATGTACAGACTTTTTTTTTTTTTTTACTTTTAAACTGATCTGCTAAATAATATATTCTTATACAGAAATGGTTGTTGTTTTCTTTTGCATCTGCATTCACATGAGAACTGTCTCTGTTCCTAAAGACAAATGCTTTCATATTGAATACAAGGTAAGGGGCTGTAAAGGTCGCATTGGTTCTCCTTCAGAGGAGGAGCTTTAGAAACTTTTTCTATGGTATACTTGCATCATAAGAGAAATACTGAAAGAGCTTCACTTCCCTTGGTGACTTTGTAAAGGTTGGGAGCCAAGCTCTGCCCGGAGTTGCAGTCATGCAAATGGACAGCAGGCAACACAGCAATTCGCTCCGGTGCAACGCCTCATCAAAGAGGAGGCCAGAAGAGATCCCCCTTCCTTGTGCCCATGAGAGGTGAGCCACGACCACATCGCTCACCCACTCCTGGTCTCTCCCACCAGGGTAAGGTCACCCTCCCTGGGAGTTTTAGTGGACAGGATCAGTCCCTATCACAGCATGGCTGCTGAGACCAGTAATTCGCATGCACCCTGGCCTGCTGGCTCCTCCACCAGCAGCTGCAGGCATGCAGCCAGCGAGCACTGTGTGTGTTGCTCCAGTCCTCCTTGGCTCAGTTCCTGAGGCTTCCCCATCAACTTTGCTAGATGTGTTAGCAATAAGGGTAACACTAGTTTTACGCCTCTGCAAGTCCAAAGCCGCATGCATTGTCTTAGTTTGTTTTTCAAAAAGAGATGAGCAGGGGGGGGCTAATCTTTCCCCCTATGACCCATGAAACACTTTAAGAAACTCAGTCTCTCCGGCAGGTGCCTAGTACCAAGCTCACCACTGACAACAAACCCTGTGTCCTGCTCTGGAAATTCAGATTTTTTTCTCCTGTTGTTTCTGCACATTAATTCTGAGCTTAACTCTTGTTTCTCCCCTAGTGCTATTTCCCATGTTTGCTCTCTTTCTTTTGCACAAAACCGTATTACTTCAACCACTCTCCAGTCTCCCAGGGAGATCAGTATTACCTTGAAACATCCAGCCCTCTGCACTACTCCTGCTTGCACATTTCCAGTGACTCAGGACAGACCCACAACTAGCTCTCTGCTGGTACCTCTTTCTGCCTAAGCTGCCTTCTCCTTTAAACAGCTTTGTGTGTGTGTGGCTTTGGGCTTTCTGCTGCAAACTGGAAAAGGGTCCGATTCCTGGATTTGAACAGCCCTGGGGGACCCCAAGGGAGATAGGGAGATCCAAGCACAGGGTCAGCTCCAAGCTACACATCTTTATGAATGGATGAACTAAACCTTAGTTTTCATTAACCTCAAACTTTCAATGCTTGAAAGTTGGATCTGAATTATGTGGTTTGGGCCTTTTTTCTGTACTAAATCTTATAATCCGAAGTACATTGTGACCCAGATTGTTCTGCTGTGAAATTCTTCACTTCTTTTTCAAAAGTAAATCAAATTTACCATCTCCATTCAAGCGGATTTCCGTCACAAATCAGCTCCCAAAGCAGATGTGCTGTGCAGGAGCTATAAACAATTGCTTAGCATATGCCAAGTCCTGCATTGAGCGAGTTACATTAGATGAGAAAACCTTCTGTAGGAACTTGACTGCTCCTTCCTCCCACTAAAACTGTTTAAGAGGTAAAACCTGATAGGAAGTTTTGTTTCAGTTAGAAGGATTTTCTCTAACCATAAACCCTAATCCAAAAAGTATTTATAGATGTGCTTAACTCCCACAAGCCTAGTCACAGACCCTGGCATACAGTAGCTAATTGCACAGTGCAGGCTCCTTAGCTTTCTCTAGTTGAAGTTCATGGGAGTTTGAGAATTGATGGCCCTTGGTGCTTGTTCTGGCTCCATCAGTTTTAAGAGCAATCTGAAAAGTGTTTACTGGAGAGACGTGATCAGAAGACGTTGGTGAAATCCTGCTGACTTTATTGGAATTGCATCAGAAACGTGGAGAAGGGAATGCAACCCATCCTCAGGGCTGCACTAGTGGCTGTCACGATGCTGTAATGCACTGTGCAGCTTACTGAAAGAGCAGGCAACATCCACGTTGCTACTTACAGACAGCTGTAAAAAAGACAACATGCAATCACAACCATTGGTATAAATGGGAATACCACAGCCTTTTTTAATCTCATTCGACTTTGTAGTATTAGATTTTTAAGAGACAATCCTCCCATCATATGTTTAACCACGGGGAATGCAGGGCGTTCTTTCATAACTCTAGTTTCTTATACTTTTTCCATAATATTTGATGCCGTGATTCATATGCAAATTAATGGATTTGAGAATCTTGGCAATCAACCCATTAAAATGTCACACATTTTCAGGGTGACATTTTAAAACTACACTTAGCATGAAAATGAAGACTTATGAGGCAGCCAGACAGATGTCTCAAGAGTGACTGAATCTTTTCCCTCCCTAATCCAGTGAATATTATATCTCAGGGTTGTTGTTTCAGTTTACAGTAGGTGTCTTACAAAGAACTTTATATGACCTGTTGCGTGCATCTTTTCAGCATCATGACAGTGCCACATGCATCCCAGCCTTACATTGCTACACCTATACTTGTGATTAAAGTTTATTAACTATTCTGTGCTGATTAGCCTGGGAAACTAATGATGAGCCCTGGGATTTTACTTCTTGTTTTTTTAAAACTATGAGATTCCTCAGCCCCATATTCACTTCATTTTTAGAATGGCTTTCATAACCAGATCAAAGTAAGGCTGTAGTCTAACTGTATGTCAAGGAAACAGCTTTTTAAAATTGTGAATACCCCCAGTGCAGCCAATTTGCAATGAAAATTTAGTGTGTGTTAAATACATGGGTTATGTGACGCCAAAGAAGTATCTGTACATGGAAATTGTTAATCTCAGTGCTGCCTCTGAGCAGCAATAATAACAACATCTGTTCCATATGGGAGCAAAGCAGAATGCTGGTGTGGAGTATGAGCCCATCAGGAGAAGCTCTGTCACGTAGTATTCAATTTTCCTGTTTAAACAGTGAGCTTTTACTGCAAACTGCCCTTTCCCTCTGGAAATATCTGAAGAACAAGTCTTACCTTTGTGCCTGGTTTGTGGTATTAGGAGTGTACACACTTCTTGCTATTCTGTCATATTATTTTGTTTCGTTGTGAAGGTTTCTGTGAGAGAGCAGACACAGTGGGGCAAATCACCTACCCCACTAATGCAAAATCTAGCCATATTTACTTCTTTCCCACACTACCTTGATCTTCCTGTGGCAAGGTGGGGTATAAAACACAGAAACACGCCAATTAGTGACAAGGAGCACTCAAGCCTCAGTCTGCAGGAAGGATGCATATGACAGGACAGCCTGACACAGGGCCATCCAGCTGCTGCTCTGGCTGCCAAAGTAAGAAAATTACTTTCCAAGAGGTTGCTCTTGAACCAGGCACATCCCAGCTTCAGGCTGTGGTCCAGAGGACACCAGGCAGGTCCTGCCTTCCTGAGACGGCCTTCCGTATGCACAACTCTCTGCCATGCAGCACCCTTGTGATTAAGGTTGTTCAGTGTCAGCAAAGTAAAGCAAAGACTTTCTGAAGTGTGTTTAAAATAGCTTGGATGCTGCTTTTATAGGCAAGATGGCAGTGCAGTGGGCGATCTCTCCTTTCTCTCAGCTCTCCAGGTGAGTGCCTAGACAGAGGTATAAGTTTGTGCTTTGAAAAACTGGTGCATTGGAGTCCTGGTCTGTGTGTAGATGCTGTGATAATGCAAGAAACCAGTAGGTCTTAATAATAAACCTAGATCTGGCACTGGCTTCAAGTACCCTCTAGAGCAAGTCACCAAGCCAGGGCTTCCCTCTCCTTTCAAAGAGAGACCCCCCTCTGTAAAGCACTTTGTGGTATTCTGATGTAAAATGCTCCTCACTGCAAGAACCAACAGTTACCACTTTCAGAGAATACGGCTTCACAGAAACTTCTGGCCAAAACACTTACTAGATGTCCTCATAAATAAAGAAGCTGCAACCAATGAGTCAAACATCTCTTTCTTTGTGATCATGTTGTAGTAGATCTGGCTCTTTGCTAGTGAGAAGTCATACTTCTCACTATCTCACACACACACACAAAAAAAGCTTTCTGACTATTTTGGCATGTAATCAGGAATTACAGGTGTATGCAGGCACATGCACACAAAATGACTATCATCTGTAGACATTTGTGTAATACCACTCTTGGCTCTGTTGCAAGACAAACTTAGAACCAGAAGAGTTTGGAAAGTGTAAACTAGTCTTGTCACAGCCAACATTTGCTATAATGTCTCTGAGGAAAAATCTGTTTTCCATACTGTGTGGAAGCATACTTACTGCCTGGCTGACAGAGCCAGCAGATCCTCTGCCCTAAAGGAAGCTCCAAGGTGACAGGGACTTGGAGCACCTCTATTTCTTTCTGGATGAGAAGAGCTTGCTCCCAGCCTGCTGATGGTGTTCTGGGCTCAGGACAGCTGGGATGTGCTCCAGGCTGAAAAACGCAACAAGACAATCAACATGAAAACATATAAATCCTTCTCAAATCCATGCGTCCAAGCCATGCCCTTTAGCATGCACAGTTAATAGCTCCCTTGGTTAACCCCTGGAAGCCAGCTTGTCCCACAGCACTCATGCTACCAGAGAGCTGCCAGGCTTTGCAGCCACCCCACAGCACACAAGGATGATCTAAAGCACCTGTAATTAATGGGCTTGTGTATGGACAACTAATCTGTAAGACATTAGATACGCATGCATCTCAGTGGAAAGGCAGTTCCAGACCTGGCCCTGGCCTGGCCTAAACAAGAGAACATGAGTCAGAGGGAGAGGCAGCCAGGCCACCACACGGTAGGGGGAAATAGCATCCCCTTATAATTTTTCAGCCTCAAATATCATGGGATTTTTCCAGCTTTCCCAGATAGGATTAGTGGCTGGGTATGCATGGCTTGCTCCTGACATGATGTCTCCAGCTGCTCATCTGCTGCCTGACCACCCCAGCTCCCCACATCCAAAAGGGGAAAATGTCCCCCCACAAAGGACTATTGGTGATGGACATGTTGGGATCTGAGTACCGTGGCTC